CAGGTGTCGGTCTCGATCCTGTTCTGGTTGCTCAGCAGAACCAACAGGGATTCGGTAGACCGAGCTGCACTCCTGGGGCAGAACAGCGTGATGCAGTGGGACGACGGTATGTCGTCCCCCACCTTGCACTCAAGGGGCACGCCCTTCCACGACTGTAGCCTCGAAGTTGCAATCCTTAGCCAATCGGCTGAGGTCTCATCGGAGCATTCAATTACCAGGAATCCAACCTGGAAGTGAATGCCCACGAATGAGACCGCAACATCTCCATCAGACGCAATGACTTCGTCAATGAGGGCCTCTTCCAACACAGATAAATCTCCGTGACTGAGCATGACCCTTGGGAAGCCCACGGGCAACACAGCCACCTTTACCTTTTTTGCCATGTCTGCATAGGACAGGCGAGGCTCGGTGGGTGTCGGCGAGCTGGGCTTCGTGGCCGCTGCACGCGATGTGCTTGGGCGCAGGTCCAGATTACCTGCCCCATTGTTCTTCAGCACCTTTGCCGCTGACGAGCCGCGGGCAGCGCCCACACCCGGGCACATCCTCTTAGGGGTGGCCACCGGAGGTGTGAGACTGCTGCTCCGCCTTTTCGAGGCTGGCGCAGGTGCTGCAACCTCCTCCCTGGGCTCTTTGGCCTTTTTCAGGGCTTCATCGGGGCTGAGTCCCTGCTGGAGGTACCGGAGGTACGACTTGACCCTTGAACCGCAGAGATTTCTCCGGTTCGGGTCATCCAGCCCACCGGGTTGACTGCTTGGTGGCAGGAGCTCTCCCTTCCTCTTTGGGCGCTGAGCGCCTTGCCTCGCGCTGTTCGGTGTTGGGTGCGGTGGTCTGAGTGTACCAGCCATCGGTCTCCCATGCCTCACAGCCGGAGTTCCTCGTGCCCGTGGCACTCTCCTATTTGTTGCTGGAGCAGCACGGTGTGGAGGATTGTCTACCACACGCAAGGGTCGTTCTCCGTCAAGGATATGACCCTCTAATTGTCTTGCGACAAGTTCCGCAGGGAGATCCTGCGGTATCTTTATATTTAGTAACTTTTCCATGGAATCCCACGAGCTGCGGAGAAGTAAGTGTCCGCCCGGGCAGAGATCCGCGATACCCGGGTAAGGCTGAATTAGAACAGGCGGTCGCCATTTGCCTGAGCTCACCGTTAAAGACTGGGCTAGTTTTTGATCCGGGCCCCCAGCCAGGCTTACTCTCGGCACGGTTCGAATAACGCCTTAGTCCGGCCCGGAGTGAGATGAGGGGATAGGATGTGGTGGGTAGTTTTGTGGGGAGATAGGGGGATGTGTGAGGCTATACTTTAGAAGGCGGCGACACAAGCGCCTTGTCGGTGCGATCGACATAATCGCACCCGCTGTTTGTCCGGGACTGCTTATTTACGAAAAGTATCGTATTATTCGCAGCTAACCTCCCCGAGGGGAGGCCGTTCGCTATCCGCAACCCGCGACCCGCCTGGTGGCCTCAGCTCAGCCCCATCCGAACCATCCCACAAGTTCTCAGACCAGGACCGGTACGGATACAATTTGAAACTTTTTTGTTTTGGTTGTTTGGATCTGCGGCAGCTTGAGGCGCTTTTGATCAAACTGTCTTGTTCGTATCTGCGGCTACTTGAGGCGCTTTTTATAGAACTTGGCACTTTTTGACACTGTCCTTTTTCGCGAAGTTTCGCGGCTGCTTGAGGCGCTTGACAAGGAGTGGTTAAATCACTTTCACTAACACGGTTTAACTTATATTTCCGTACCGGTCCCTGCTCGGGCGCCTATTAATTGAGTCCTTACGGTTTTTAGAAAAAAAAAAAACCAGTTTGTTCTGTTCGGATATTTTATTTAGACTGAATTCATAAACTCTAACTTATCATAACTAAACCTCGTACTACTGATTCTGCTGACGTCTTTGGCGTTGTCGCTTTGATCGATGGCGCTTTGATTATAGGCGCTTTGATTGCTGGTGGTGTCAGTTATCCGTTCTGCGTCCCACGATGCTCTTCAAGTGGAATGTGCTGACGGGGCGTGTCTTATTTCTCCATGCGCCTAAGTTGTGCTCGTAGGCTCAGCATATTTCTGTTTGAGTCCCGCGTTTCTGAAAATATGCTGACGAGGCGCGCGTGTTTTATGGTATTTATTCGAGTGCATTGGTTTTAGTTATTCGTTATAATAAATGTTAACTTGTGTAATTTTAATTTGAGCCTGTGTGAATTAGAAAATTAGAGAGGAACCGTTTAATCTGAAAATTAATATCTGAATCATCAACTGTTGTTGATTGATATTCATAACCTAATTCGCTTTCGACTTCGTCAGGCTGGGCAAAGGCTCCTTCGAACCCAGCAGATTCGAATTAAGCTTGTTGCTCGTTATTCATGAAATAGGAATTTGATCGTTCAACCTGTTCTGATGTTTTAGTAGCGTTGGATTTTTGGAGGCTGTTCGCGCGATGTGGTAAGGGGGTGTTTGCCCACGTAATCAATCAATGAATTCACGATTGCAATATTGTTTCGATTAAAAATAATTGATTAATAAATTCCTGTTTTTTTTTGTTTTTTAGGGTTTTTTTTTAAATCTGCAGTTTATTTTTTTCTTAGACTTATTTTTTTGATATAAAAAAAATATTTATTTTGTCAGTTTAGATTTTAGTGCAGTTTGATTTCTTTCTTTTGATTTCATTGTTTTTCTTTATTTTGATATGGTTTTTTTCTTTTCTTTCTTTACAAAATTTTTTGAATTCATTTTTTTCTTTTTTACTACGCCCACAGAATAGTTATCATTTCGCCGAATCTCCCGCGATGATCTTTTGAATTTCGCCTGTTTGTCCCACGACGATGACGAGTAGCAATGGATGACTCCGGTTCTTCCAGACACTTTTCTCGCGGTACTCTGCGGGCAGACACTACAGTGATATGGAGTTTTTTTTGGCACTTTGTCACTGATTGTGCTTGTATTTGCGGCTGCTTGGCTATTTTAGTCACTTTTAATAACTCACGATTGTCTTATTCTCCGCACCGGTCACTGCTCGGGCGCCAACTAAACAAATCTTTATTGTGTTTTATTAAAAAAAAAAAAAAAAACCGGATCGTTTTCTTTGAGTGCTTTATTAGAACTGATTGTGTAAACTTAAGCTTATAATAATTAATCCTCGGACTGCTAGCTTTGCCTGAGTCTTTTCGTTGTCGCTTTGGTCGCTGTAGCTCTGTCGCCATTGGTTTTGGATAATTTCGGCTGAATCCAGCTTGATGAAATATGCTGATAAGGCGATAATTGGTTCTGGGTATTTGCGACTAAGTCCAGGCGGACTCCACAAATTTAAGCTCTTATCCTTGGAAGATAGAATGGTAGGAGTCCATTTTTTTAATGACAAAATATGTCTTACGCATTAGTCGGTGGTATGACAAGTGAAGAACTTATGTTAAGTGAAAGACATAATTTTTTAAAGTAGGAAATTACAGTTGCTTGGATGTATAGTGGAATGGAGGAGCTGTGAACGATATTTTAAAAACTGTTGAATGTAGACTTCTGTCCATCTCAAATTTCAAAAAGTTTCAAAAGTCGTTGGTATTTTATTTTATTTTATTTAATGTCCACTAAGAAAAAAGTAAGTAAGTAAGTAAGTAAAATACAAAAAGTATAACTATTTTAATTAAAATTTAAATATTGATTTAATAAATTAATTAAGTAAAAAGTTAATTTAAAATAATATAAATATTTATAAGTTTTCTGGGAGACTTTAAATGCAAAATCGATCCAACATTCATTGCATGGGTTGAGGAAAAGCCGGGAAAACCCCAATCAGACCAAGAAGAAAATAGTATGAATTAGTGAGATGCAATAGCACAAATTCATATACAAATGTTAGTCAGGAGACAAGACGTTTAAAATTGAGTTCTTAATGCTATAAATAAGTGACTCTGAATTGTGTAATATTTAGACTGTGTTTACGTGGGTAACTATTATTTTAATTCCTACGACATTCACACATACTATTATTGTGGCTTATCCTTCTGGACTCTTTTTCTCGTCAGAGAAAGCTATAAGGTCCACCAGTTAATTTGTGTAGCGATACCCTAATAAAGTGTTTCTCGGTAGGTGAAACTGGATTTAGTGTTGATATCAATCTCACGATCTTCATATGCTTATTTCGTAAACCTAATGCACGTGGCTTTACTCGTCGTCTGCTGCATTGCAGTAAGACACAATATACAGTAGGGAACCATTTAATTAAAAAAAAAAAAATGTCGATTATTTATTCGTCTTTGCGGGTAAACTGTTCGAGCATAGAAAATATTTCGTCTTGTTCTCAGCTTTTAAAGTAAACTGTTCGTGATTCAACATAGATTGACCACTTCTGACTCGGTCTTCTTCATGACTCCAGGGGCAGTGGAACTTTTGAGGGAGTACAGAATGCTTTCAGGGCTGTGGGCATTCCGGTAATTCGCTGACTGAATGTCTTTAGAGGTAATACCTTTTGATCGTATAGAACCTTCAACCTCCATGGTTATAGGACTGGTGCAATAAAGTGGTTGTGCGGTAATATACATAGTAGGCATGGATTTTGAGAAAGTTTTATATTGAAAAGTTTTAATAATAAATATTATAAATCTAAAAAATAAAATTTGCAACTTGTGGTTATTTAGGTACTCTTTTGAAAATAACAATTCTAGAATACACATTTGTTAAAAGAATAAATTCATTTTAATAAAAAATTCAAAAGTTACGCTGCAGCTTGTACAGAAATAGAAAAAATGTAATAGATTTCGTATTAAGTCACATAAGAATGCAAACTTTAATAATAATTTAAAAATCGTTGGTGGTCAAAGGTCAAGATAATTTAATCCAATTGACAATGTGTGATCATTAAATTGGACTATTGTGATAAAATACGAAGTAGGCAGATAAAAAAACTATTTGTATATTAACAATGAGATTTTGCACAATGATGCCAGTAGGGCAAAACAAACTTAGTTTGAGATTAGCTTTTAGTTAAAGTTTTCCTCCCCAATGTGTCGGTATATACGTCTATTTCGCTGAGACAAAAGTCAGGTATTGATCAAATATAAAGAAATCAATATTTAATTATTTTAATAAAATGCATAGATCTGCGATTACTTATTTTTAGAAGTCACCAAAACAATGTTTTCCACAAGAAATTTGAAATTAGGCTTAAAAAATTTGTGAATTAATGAGAATGTTCAATTACACTATAAAACAGCAAACTGTCTACGAACGCAACTTTTTTCAATACCCTTGAAGCTATACTTCGAAAATACATTTGTCTATGATCGCGTCAGACAAAATGTTAAACTTTGGATCCAATGTCGATAAGAACAAGCTGATAAGACCATATACCTTCAACAACTCAAAAGCTAGACACAAAACTAGAGGCCAGTATCAGCAAAGCCGCCCACTGCATCCACAAATTGGAAATGTGTATATCTTTCACAATCTTTGAGCCAGAGACACAAATTTTGATTAAAAGTTTTCTCCGCCGTAGGTTGCCCTATGGGCACTCTTCACTATCTGAAAATAAAGTGCTAGTCTCTCAATGATCTACACAAATTTCGCTCGATTCGGGTCACTATAACATATAGCTGTCATATATATGCTCTTGCCGTCTTTTTTAAATTTAAAAATTATATTTATTTTTGCAAAGTTTATATTTTTCAGTTAAGGGATCGTTCTGGTTCTGAAAAAAATTCATTTCTAAAATAATAAAAATAATAGAATGATTTGCTCATGTCAAATTACCACACAACATTGTTGTAATTTTCTTTAATTGCTATAAACTCTTCTTCCAATTCAAAATCGTCTCTTCCATTCTGCATTTTCTTTTGTCTAGCCTCAGATACACTTTCCTCTACAATCAACAGGAACTATGCAACTAACCAAACAATTTTAATCACGTATCTTAAGCACAGTAGGTGACAGGTTATAAAAAATATTGAATGATCTTTGATCAAAAAAGTCAAACTGTTGGCAAGCAACTGTGGGAGCTTTTTTTTATAAAACATCTCTACATTTCTGTTACAAGTTTTCAAGCACGCCCATCCATGCCCACAAAAACGATAAAAGCCTATATCTCTCGCAATTTAAGAGTTACAGTTGCCAAACTTGGAAGGTATATTACTAAGATCGTACTCCACTATTTTTTTTTGTCACGCCCGCTTCCAAAATTCCCAGAAGCCTATCTCCCGCAATTTAATAGCTACAGTTACCAAAATTGAAAGGAAGCTTACTAGGAACCTTCTCTAATAATTTGTTTGGCCCACTCCTATCCCCAAAATTTTCATAGTCCCATATCTCCGTTTTTCTTGTTATCCGCTGGAATAACTTATGGTATCAAAGTATTTCGCAGTTTTTAATAGTTTAATAGCTCATTATGCTTAACAATTATTACTAAGTCATAATTTTGTAATAAAATAAAAAATAATTGCGTTAAATTTTCCCTAAAGCGCTCGCTCATTTTTTGTAGCCTTTGAGGCAGTCTTCTGAGCGGATTTTTCTGCTTCAAATATTAATAGCGTTAGCACGACCAAACAAAAAATGTCTTTTTTAAAATTGAAGAAAATGGAGATAGATTGATAAGTTTTTCAAATAATATGCCACAACAATGACAAAAGTTGTATTCAACTATTGACTCAAACAGTAAAAAGTAAGAATGCTATAGTCGAGTAATCTAATTTTATTGTCAAACTCGCCTTTAAACATTTTTAGATACTAAAGTGAGAAAGTGTTCACATTTCTTATATGTGTACTTGTAAATAAAAAATGCTTGCTCCTACTGATATTATTCAGATCAATATAGGAATTCGCTTTAGATATATTTTCGTAGATTCTTTCTTCTGGCTGTTACACACTTTTACACAAAATTATTGTACTCTTTTTACCCATTACATTTTATATTGATTCAGAGAAAAGACTTTATACCAGAAAAGTTAACTTATCGCCATAGTGATTGATAAGAAAAAGACTTCGACTCGCCCACCCAATACATAAAAATCGATATCTTCCACAATTTTGGAGCTAGAGCCAACAGACAAATTAGTGACAGACTTTTTCAGTTGACAAGGCACGCATATCTACTGTCGTCACACACCTCTTACTATCATCTAGTATTAGACTGGTATCAGAGTAATCCTCAATCGGTTACGACCGATTGCACAGTTTGTAGAAGAAAATAAAATAATTACAGTTAACGATTTTTTTTAAAACGAAAATTAAATCTAAAAATCTTTAGCCACATAGTTTTATGGATCTTTTTTATTCTATGAAAATACAAATTGTACCAAAATAAAAATTTAAAATAAGTTTTAGGGTCCGTTATTCGGTTTTTGGATGGATGTGTAGGCCAGGGTAGATCTACCAAATTTGGAAGATGGATAACTGGTAACCAACTTCAAAATTGATGTTAAAAACATTCCAGCTGTGCTTATACCTGACACGCGTAAAAATCCAAACAGGTCAACAATATTATTTTCCCATAAAATATTAGCAATAAATTTCTAGCATAAAAACTAGAGTCACCCAAATTTGTAACTAATAATACTAATATTTTAAGGATCAGCCAAAAATTGCTTGGCCACGACTTCAGCCGCCCCGCATAAATCAAGAAAGCTTGTATTTTCCACACTAAATTCGACTATCGCTTGTCGGCTACGTAGGATCTCCATCTTTGCAAAAAAAAATTGTGCTATTTTATGAGCATCTTATTTTTTACATATTAAGTACTAATCTACTTATTTGTTTCTGAATTTTAATACAATGAGGACGGGAATTCTTCATTGTAACTGTTACTGTTTTTTTAAGATTAATTAATAATAAGGCAACTTTGATGGTGTGTAATTCCTTAACTAATAATTGGATAATTTTCAAGAATCTATTCTCTATTGATAAAATACCGCCCATTTCACATTTGTCGCACCTTTGATTCTTGCACGGTTTTTATAAATTGTATATTTCGTTTACATCATTTACTTATTAAACTTAATCAAATAAAAAAAGTCAATTATACCTTTTATTATACTTGTGTACGAGTTAACTATTTTTATTTGAATAAAAATAAAAATTACATTAAAATTAAATATTGGTTAATACTATTACATTTCATGTTGGATAAATAAACAAATATTAACACAAGGCAATACATTTAACACTATTTAATATGTTTCTGTTGTGTCCTTAACACTGCCTGTACTTTGAAGAAAACTTTTGTCAATTGAACAAAGCTTGCATAAAAATTCGCCCCACATGCGTCGCGTCACTGGATCTAAAATTATGAAATATACAAAAATAACAAACCCTTGCAGTGTTGCTGTGAGACAAAAAAAATATGAAAACACAATACCAGCCTTCATTGTTGATAAAAAGCCAAAGCACCATGTGAATCCCATTAAGAAAAATAAAAGTACTGATAGTCGTATCTGATATATTAAAATAGGTTTTTCAGTGTGCCTAATTGGTACGCTTGACCTAACTAATATGTTATATATAATAAGACAAAATATAACAAAGTTAGCTATTATAATGATCGAAATGGGAAAAATTATGCCGAAATAAAGCGCGTATCCTGATGGGTAGCATATTGCGCCTTTACTAAAAGAATCATGATCCAGAATAATCACTAAAACTACAGGTATGATTGGCACACCCCAACAGAATGCGGCGGACTTCATAAAGAATCTGTGCGGTCTAGTTCCCGCAAATACCTGAACATATCTCTTGAACTGTAAATATGCAATGACCATCATCCAGAAGAATTGTACAAGCACAGAGTAGTGGAGTAAGGCGCCAATGGCTACACATCTAGGTACAATCTCATTTATAATTAAATGTAGTGAGTATTCCTTTGTATTGACAAAGCAAAGAATTATCATTTGCAAAGCTATTGCTGCCGATAGTTGTAGTAGTACCTTAGAGGACGGTTTTTGTCGCCATGAGTTAAATACTGCAGCGGTGATGAATATGCCACAAATGCCGAGAAGAGATAAAGAACAGCCTGTTACAGTTATTATATCAAGTGCCTGGACATGATCTGCATACTGAATATTGACTTCAATGTCTTCCTCCACTGTAAAATTAACGCCTACTAGGTATGCAAATGGTGTTAGATGGCTAACTTGACATAAAACGATATCTCTGTTAGTGCTTAACAGATTTGAGACCTGAATGCCATCAGAGGCCCAATTTTCATAATTCCAATAGCTACACATTTGTGTAGTATCATTGTGCTTATATGAACTATTATAAACTCGAAAAGCGAGCGGCAAATCCTCAGGTAAATGCGGACTATGGCCGGGTAATGATATTGATACCACACGGCCGAATGCAGATAGTGGTGTATGATTGGCTGGCAGCTGAAAAAGTTTATCGTTCGAGTACACTTTAATAACCACAAGAGTTTTTGTGTTTTTGGTGGCATTTGGTGCATTTGAAATTGTGTCCAGCTGGCTTAACAGTTTTTCTGGTACGTAGGTGCCAAATTGCAAATTTGGCTCGGAAATTAAGTCCTCAATTTCATAATCAGACTCCAGAAAACGGAAGTGCTCATTTTTAAATGCTCCTTTCAAAGTTATCGGTATGTCACTGTTATTATTATTTTGAAATATTGCAATTCCAGAAATATTGGCAATAGACGGATTAATTATAAAATAGATCAGATTGTGTGATATTTTTACAGATACTCCAATATCCACATAATCCAGCACTTCAACATCACTGCTATTGTCTAATTCATTAGAATTATCCACGGGATTGCTTAAGCCTGTATCACCAAAAACTGTTTGCAATGATAAGGTGTTCATTGCATTTTCAAATGCCTCCAGAAGTTTGTTAGTTGAGTTTAATTTAGCTGACATCCGAATCGTAGACTCTCTTACATCTATCAAATAATTGTAAATAGCTATAAGATCCAAGGTAGTTTCTTTAAAAAAATTGTGAGTAGGAGGCAAATTCAAAATATTTCTATCAACATTGTTAATCGAAGCTTGCACAATGTTAGCTGCAAGATGCAGATCAACAGGTAAGAACTTTTTTGCAGATTCTTGCAAAATGTGCTTAACCTCTTTTACTACTCTTTCCGGTGAAACTTTGATTAGTTTCGATTTTTCTAAACTGTAAAGAGTTTCTGTTACTTTTAAATTATTATGCTCAAGCTGACAAGTTATGTTTTCCTTCATTAGCTCCCAATAAGCACCATGTAAAAAATTGCCCTGGCAGCGACGTGTATATGGCATGCCATTACTTCGAAAACATAGACCCGACAATGTTCCCACCTGTCCTCTAACTGTCTGCTGCCACTGGTATATTACGCCGGTATCCAATCGAAACATATTTGGAAAACAATACTCTGTGCTACGGACTACATTCAAGCCGTTGGGGCTAAAAATTGAAATAACCTCTTGCAAAAGAGTCCAAACTCCCATGCGTATTGAAGTGTCGTGTCTTATATTATCATCATTTTCTAAGCTATCAGATTCTTCGCTGCTTTCCTCCTCACTATTGTCAACTGCAGAATTCTTAAGAGAAGCTGTCAAATGGATCCAACAATGAACATATGGACTAGATATCTGTTCAATACTCATGATACGAGTATCATGTATAACAAGGTCTCGAGCAACAACTTTGCTCCTTCTTCGTAACGTGTCTTGAACATGTTTTCCAAGCTTTTTGGTGTATTTAAACGGATTTTTACACATGTTCTTATTTTCATTTATACACGTTATATTTATCCTAGCAGCGAAAGCATGGCCCCGTATTTTTTTTGCAGCCACAATTCTTTCGGTGGTTACTAACTGAAAATTTAAAATAGAATGGCCTTCACACCAATACTCGCCAGGGTTGTCATTAACTAACTTCAATTTAAAAATTAACTTTGTCTTATTTTTATTTTCCCAAATAAGATCAATTTTGGAGCTTCGTTGAATATCAAAATCTGCATTTGTGAAACATTGTATACCATTGTGATTTCTATTGATACGCCAAAGATAATCGCTATTATAAACTATCAGAATTAATTCTTGTAACGTTGCGTCGAATTTCAAAATAAGTTGCGTCGTATTAAATTGATTTTTGATAGTTTCTTTGTACAAAATCGGATGTGTTTTTTTATCGTTATCAACAATTCGCATGATTTCATTCTGGTTCATTAGAATTAGAAACCCATCTCCAGATTTGTCAACAAAATGGTCTACTTCAAAAAATTCTTCCTTTTCAACTCTTCGTATGCCGTGTTTTAGCATCAGTCTTAAAGTATTACGATTCTGAAAATATTCTTTGAGTCGCACCTCTTTTTGCTCGCCTGACAATTTTTTTGGCCAGTTGATTCCATAGCATTCGTTGGGCCGATAGCTAAGAGCCGCTAGTCCATCGGGGCATCCTGTGCTTGATATAAGATTGCCGTCAAAAACACAAATTGTATGCAGTAAGTCATCACAATCGGTAGCCATTACGATCAACTCTTTTTTTTTTTTATTATGACTTTCTAGGCGTCCAGACATACAATTTTTATCAGATCTAAAATCTGAGACTTCTATTTTGTCGTCAACTACTTGCCCCCACCGCTCACCAGGCAACTGTACCTTGTATGGCATGGAATTATTTTCGCGTTTAAATGGTAACCAAAATTCTAAAATGCCTCGATCATGCATGAATTCTATTAAACTTGATGCTTCAAGCTTCGAATAATCAAATGGCAAAATTATGCTTGAGCCATAGCAAAAATGTTCGTCATACTTTTTTCGTTCAGAGGACGCTTTAAGACAAATGGGATCATCACTTTCATTATCAACTTCTACTAATTCCTCCGGGCAATATTTGTTTTGGTGTTCTTTCACTCTGCATACAACACTTTCTGGCTTCCATTGACCAGTTGTTGTGTCGCATTCACGCAAAAAGAGTTCCCAATCATCTTTCCAGCAAACAAAGTCTTCAGAAGTTGTGTAACGTTCTCCCCGAAATTTCCAGTATGCTGTGCCACCAGATGTTTCGGTTGTATTATCATCACACTTTTCATACTATAGGTATTGAAATTAAAACATTTGTGCAAATTCAATGGGATATTTCTAACCTTTTTTGTTAATCTGCATGGTAGATTTAAGCACATTACAAGAAATATTATGGCTCGCTTAGTCATTTTGCTAAAGACAAGAATATGTATATTATATTCGCTGAAGATGCTTTTAAGATTCCTACAATACTAAGTTCTTTATCGCAAAAATCTAAAAACCAAAGCGCAGTTGAGTTATCTTTTATTCTTTATCTCAATTTTGTTATCTGCTTCGAATTTTGTGCATAATACCCCGCTTATATAAAATGGGTGCCCGGGTGTTTTAATTTATGCAAATGGAAAAAGTAGATAACATAATACACAGTATTATTATTACAGTACCACAGTAATATTATTTTGAATGTACAAAACTATCCGTATCAAATACATTTAAAACTGATTCTAGTTTTTCGGTAAAACTTTAGCTTACCAATATTAACAGATTGCTGTTACATATTTTTATGAATGATCATTTTTTTTATGATTGCTGAGACCTTAAAGGGGCTGTACAAATCTACAACAGCGCGTGATAGTTCACAAACCCAAAGGTGATACTATTTAAAAAAAAAACTACCCTGAATTGCGGCATATGCGTGCCAACAACAATATCTTCATATGTAGATACATAAACTCATAGATCTGAAGCTCAACTATAAACTTTTGTAGAAACACAAGCTCACTGCTCCCTTTGCACTCATGCACGCAGAAACACAGGAAATGATTCCACTTGCTGCCATCTGGCTTATTGAACACAAAAAAATGTTTTCGTTAGCAACATCTGCGTAGCACAATTCCTATAGTTGATCGATCGCCCGTTGTTTCGACCATTTAAGATCAGCCACCTGATAGGAGGATGAAATCCATCCATTCACTGCTTATTATACATAAATTAAATAGATGCTCCAACCTCTGCCATAATTGGGAGCACCGATAGGCGGAAAATGGTTGGAGATGAGCTCCATGCTCGAATATATGAAGGACTTAGAGTAGTGTAGTGGCAAATTCGTAGTAAATACCAGCAGGATGATGCTCTATAAAAAAAAACCAAATTCTTGTACCGCTTAGTATAACTCTTTAATATTTGTAAAATTTCAACATGATTTTGGCGTGATTGCAGTAGGTATATACATTCTTCAGCAATGTCATTAGCCGAGTCGATATAGCCATGCCCATTCATGTGTCTATGCTCCTTTCTTATACCCATTTTAAAAGGTTGGACTCCTTTAGTTTTGAAGATGTTCCATACGTCACCATGTCTGCGTACGTTCTTGGTGCCCATGATGTGGATATCTGTTTCCTTGTGCGGTGATGCTTTTACTGTGCTTATACACATATACAAGAGCTTTCAATTATAAAATCTCCTTCGACGGTCACTATGGGCAAAAAATCAATCAAATGTAAAACGCTAATCAGCCGTGCTCCAATTTACCTAAAAATTTTCCGTTTCAACTTTTAACAAAAAATCTTCCGTTTCCATTTTGTGTGCTCCAATTTACGCGTAATTTGATATGCGATGTGAGTTTCAATGCCACCGTTGTTTAGGCGAACACATAACTACAACAGCTGTTTTAACTGTTTCTCTTCGAGGCAGAAAGAAGAAAAAATATTATAATAATGCTTATCTAAATACTTTCATTTCGATTTGATTTTGCCTTCAAACAGCATTTTCATCAAACATACATCATACATGTACAACAAACTAATTACAATTTTCACTTGTAATATAAGTAAAAGCACTCTAATACAATAATATTTAATTCTTTGTGAAATATTATTGGTAAAAATAAATTTAATTTGTCTTGTAAAATAAGAACAAAAGCATTCAGAAGTGTAATACGCTAAAAAGATGTGAGACACAGTTCAGATAGACAACATCACTATCTTACTTATAGTTCTTAGTTGATATAATAATTGATGGGCACATTAATGATGTAAGTGGAATTTTTAAAAAGAAAATAGATGTTGTAGTTACTATTTATGTATTTGAAAGATCTCATTGTCAATATATAGAAGGGATAGGTGTTAATTTAAAATATATTTAATAAAATTGTGTAAGCTAAAAAAACGTTTTTTTTTTTTTCAATTTGATTGTCGGTTATTTTTAAATTGTAATTTGAATTATTTCCACTGGGTTTGTTTACTTATTTAGTGGTGGACCGAAAATACTGTCAGAACTTTAAGAGGAACAAAATGATTTAGGAACATCCCCTAAAAATGAAAACAGAATGTTTTCCCATATTCGCAAATTGAAATTCGAGTGAATATATCGATTCAGCGAAGAACTTTAAGTGATGCTCACTTAGAGCACCTTATGTGAATAAGAGTTTGGTTCTCCGAATAATTTAAATGTATAATTGAAATTCATTAATTCATTATTTTCCGTTGCGTAACTAATACAACAAATATAATTTTTAGCAGCAGCGGCAGCAAACAACTTTAATTGATTATGAATTGTTGACATGTTTGAATTTAGAGCCCTGCGCGTCTTAATAATAATAGCTTATTGTTAGTCTTAATTACATATGCACATTATGTTAAGTGAAGTTTGAGCTGCAGCAGCCAGCGCTAGCAGCGCTCTCATTGTACAGCACTCTCTTTGTGAAGCGCTCTCTATCTCTCTATAAAGTGCGTTCGCTGATCGGCCGGCTGCTGCAGCTAATCAGTTGCTTCGCATAGCTCTAGCTTATCGATTGGTTTTAGTTGTTCTCGTTGTGAGAATGTTTAGCGGCGGCTTCAAACCTTTATTTCAGTAATCGACCGTTAGTTACTCTTGTTGAGAAAAGGTTTAGCAATTGGCTTCAAACCTTTAATAAACAAAGTGTTTCCTATATGTAGATACCTAATTCTTGAATTCTTGAGTAACTATACGATCTATAATTGTGCTAGTTCTTTTGGGTAAAGCAAAGGTCCTTTAAGAAGCCAGGGACATGGTTCCAGCCGATTTCACATAGGATATACATATAGTCAGTTGCCCAATAGTAAGTACTAAGGACGGCACATACTAAGCGGGTCTGTACTAACAGATTTGACCTTCTTTTCAGTAAGTACTTTTCGAAGTAGCTTGCAAACAATTGTGAAATTATTGTCGTGATAACTTCTGCGAACTTGGCATCTAAAGTAAAAAAAAAAAACAGATATTTAAATACCAATCTGAAAATATGATTAACCTGCTTTTTTTCTTTCAAGTATAATGCGCATTCTCAAGTTGCAATCACCTAGTGTGCTGTTACTGCTTCTGAGCTTTTCTTGGCACCATACAAGTCATGTAAGTAATGTAACATATAATGGACTCAGTACTGAGTTACAATGTCGAGGGTTCCAACTAATTTGCTTTAAATATTTGTTAATAAATAAGAAAATATGAATTAATATGGTATTTCTTATAGCTTTGATGGTACGTAAGTTCGATATTGGAAGCACTCGCCTTTTCCTCGCATATGTATGCATGTTAACTTCTATCGATAAATTCTTTAACCATTTTTCGACCAAAGTAAGTCAGCTTGTCGATGAAATGTTGTGTCGTTTCTCTTGTGGGAATTGATGGTGCACATTCAGCATATGTTGCAACCTCGACGCCGGTGGCAATCGCGAATCTTTATCAAATGCAAATGCCAATCTTTATCAAATGCATAGAAGGACGGCTGCGTTTTGTTTCCACTCAAAAAAGTGTATTTTTCGGAACCTGAACTCATGTTTGTTTACTACACTTAGGTCGGTTAACACTGGAAACTTGTCTTTTAAAGTATATTTTCAAATTAAAATTCAGTACTTTGGACTATTTCTTAATTTTAAAATACGTTATCGGTTTTCTCTTCATCACTTCTGCACAGATCACCGCTGATGTCTTCTGTAACCGTATTTCTTTGTCTTTGGGTCTCTTTGACTCTCTGACTCTCGCCTTCCACGGATTATGCTTATTTGCGAATGGATCTAGGTTCTTTAGATGCTTTGCAATCGCTACATATTTGTTTTCTCGTAGTTTTAATTTCATACCAAGACTTGGGATTTGGTTTAAGAAAAAGAATATTAGTGGATCCTTACTAATGCGATTCTTAATGTTATTAATGACTATAACAACGTTCCCAAGCAACTCAACTTTGGTTTTAATAGTTTCAGCTGACATGGTATGATAACGTTTCTTAATTACCACTTGGAAAGCCCTCTCGTAGCCTTAATTTTTTTAAGCCTAACTCTAACATGTCTCTATAGCTGGGATGTAATATTAATCTTTGTGTTAAACTAGTTTGATAGTCCTTGACAGTATTACGGACATCAAACATACAAATTGATGGAAAATAGTGTTTTTCACATACTCCAGTTGTTGATAACCAGCAATTTTGTTTGTAACTTTGGTAATTTGCCTTTGAAAACTTTGTTTGCTTATTTTAAAAACAAGCTGTTCTGCGACTGTTCTCAATGAGTGAGAACTGAACAGAGCTCCATGATTTGATTTATATTTATATTATGATATAGTAATGTTGTCTACCTTAATTAACTTTCGCTTATGTTCACGTCAGACAAAGAGTTAAATTTTTTATGCTACATCCACTGGCGGGCAACATATATCTCGGATTTACTCGGATATTATAAGACAACTGATTTAGATGCTATTTAATATACGGCAACAGTGCCGGGCGATTTGCATACAGACGAAATGAAAGATTTTATTGCGCTACCGCTCTTTTCTAACCTAACTTAATCTTAAACTCGCGCTAACAATCACCAAATTTATAAGGTATATCAGAAAAAACTGCTTTCGAGAATCGATAAAAAAAAATGTAATAACCACGCAAATAAGTAGTGTATTAATCCCAATAATAAAAGAAGAGTTACCAAAATTGGGAAGTAGATTGCTGGTGACCTTCTTCAAAGAATTATATTGCCTTCAAGACACTCTGTATACTCGTATTTCATTTTTATTTTCGATATTAAAGACAAGTATCTCAGGAAGGCGCTCCACATACGGGTCTTGGATCCGTTGTCTTAATTGATATTGTGGATCTTTGATTCTTTGATTCTTCAAAAGTAGTTGTGAAACCGTGGAGAGAGCAGAGCTTTTAAAATTACAAATTTTTAAAATAATGTGTTCACCTATACCTCTTCATATTTTCCAAAACGCAAGAACTTGCACTATATACATGTGCACACACATACAATGGGCATACATACGAGCATTTTTTGGCGTGCTGGCTTGAATATTCAAGACTTGTTCAATTTATAAAGAGTTGGATTCAGGTTATTTTCTCGACGAAGTTGTTAGACCACAGCATTTTTATTTGTTCTGCTTTAGTGAGGGATTGTATTTATACGCAGTAACAAACACTTTTATTTTTTGTTTTAGGGAGCCGTAAAGCGCAGCATAGATACATCGGCTTCCTTTGCAATGATAACAGATGATCGGTTGCCGAAAGATGTCGTGCCACAAAGTTATGAACTTCATATAGAACCTAACTATGAAGAAAGTACCTTTAGCGGGCTTATAAAAATGAATTTGAGTTGGACTGCAGACTCAAAGAAAATTTCGCTTCACGCTCATTATGATTTAAATATTAACGATAGGAAAATTGTTCTACGAAAATCTAATACGAGTAGCAGGTATTACGATAACATATTTATAGATAATATAATTGTATACTAATTTAACATTTTGATCAATCACGTTTTTAGTGACCCGCAGAAAATTACGGTTCTGCGCGGCAGTCGCTTTCCAAAGAAAACAATTTATATAATCTACCTTAAGGAAACAATAAAACAAGGTACAGAATGTGTTATAGAGATTCCTTTTGACGGAAATATTTGGAAGAGTGCGAACGGACTTTTCAAAGGATCTTATGCAAATGTAACCTATTTGGCCACCTACTTAAGGCCAAATAATGCGCGACGCTTGTTTCCATGCTTTGATGAACCAGGATTCAAAGTAAGCTAACTTTCATATTTTAAAAAAATTACAATCCTAAAACAATAATAACAATTTATTTACAAAAGGTTCCGTTTGCAGTCTCCATTACAAGACCTAAGGATTTTGTTACGGTATTTAATACAGCACTAGCTCGATCTGATGAACAGTAAGTATTTATTATTTGAAACATAAAGTGTAAATCGCCCTTACTGCTCAGAGCAGGTAATGTTGTATGTATTATATGTTTAGACTCAATCGTATATAATTTTTTTATGTATCAAATGTTGTCAAAAATTAAAAGTAAAACGAAGAAGTAGAACGGAGAGATAGACAGAGAGAGAGAGAGAGAGAGAGAGAGAGAGAGAGAGAGAGAGAGAGAGAGAGAGAGAGAGAGAGAGAGAGAGAGAGAGAGAGAGAGAGAGAGAGAGAGAGAGAGAGAGAGAGAGAGCGAGAGAGAGAGAGAGAGAGAGCGAGAGAGAGAGCGAGAGAGAGAGAGGACAGAAACATAAACAGATATAAGTTTACAATAGAAATGAAGAAGTGGGGCATAAAGGTGTATGAGAGAGAACAAGGTTTCAAGTAAGCAATTGTCTTTTTAAAAAAACGGAAAAACTAGAAAATTAGTTTATTATAATTATTTAAGTTGCAGTTTATTCTTAATTATAAATTAATAAATTAAGATTATCGAGGGCAGTTTTGAGTCAAGGTTAAGGCAACCTCGGTTCTGCCCACTACTTCTAGGTTAATGAATGTTTAACAACCAGAACTAGACCGCTTCTCCAGGCTTGCATTAGCTATAAGATTTCGGCGACGAGGCTCATGGAAGAGCTCCTCCAATCAACCAAGACACGACAATTATGTCTCGTGTTCAATTTATCTTTTAAATTTAAAAATTAAAATTTTATATGTTTTTTCGTTAGTACTTACTATAACAGTGACACCTTTAATTTGCAATTATTACTGTCCGATAATTTTTTTTATATTATACATTGCAGCTTAACTTTAAAGGACCAAGTAATAGACTATTTTGAAAAAACTCCACCAATGTCTTCGTTTACATTTGGCTTTGTGACATCGAAACTTCAAAAATTGGATATCAAATTGACAAAGAATGCAACATCGTTGTCAGCACCTGTTATTAATATTTGGGGTATTCCAGAGAGTGCAAATCAATTACAGGTATGATGTTGATATTTATCATAGATTAAATTCTTAAAGAATTATTATTTTTTACTGACTGCGCTATGGGTAAAAATAATTTTTTTTAGTGATAATTTAAAATATAAACTTGAGGCTTGAAATTTTGCTAAAAATTATAATTTCGCATTTTTTTATGAAAATAATTAATAGATGCATATATTTACTTTAACATTTTGTTTATTCAAAACCTTCATTAAATCTTTAATTATGAACGAAATTCAATAAATTTAATATAATTACGTTGCGTTAAGATTTGCCAATCACAATTATGTTATGATCATCAAATACAATTCTTATGTTGGACGCAAGACAAGACAAGGGTTTGCATTTCAACTGGTTCAGTTTGTTTGAATTATGAATACCTTCTATTCTTCTCTATTTATCAAATGCTTTGTTTTTTCTCATTTTAAGTTTGCAATTTAATTTCCCGCCTTTAATTTTATATCATTTAATTTGTGACTTTAATTTTAAATGTTTATTTATTAAACCCTTTTATCAAAATCGTGATCTGTATATTGTTAATTATATACATTTCTTTTATTCTAGGGCACTTACGAAAAAATCATACTTATTTACAAATTGATTCAGGATTATTTTGAGATACCTATCCCTCTATCTAAAATTGATGTGGTTGCCATACCTGACCTACCAATAGTACGGCCAGCAGATAACTGGGGTCTGTTGCTATTTAAGTAAGATACTTGACTTGATTTTGCAGCATCAATGTAATTCTGATTTTTGTTTAGAGAAAGCGATCTTTTGCAAAACCAATACTATTACATAGCGCAGGAATTAATATACCAATGGATTGGTTCGTGGGTGACTCCTGAGTGGTGGACTGATGCACATCTTAACAAAGCACTGGCAAGTTTTTTAGCATCAGAAATTGTAATACAGGTATGCTTTTAAGTTAAAAAAAAATATATTTTTCAAATTAATCCAGTATACTTACAGATAGATGGTGGAATCGAGTTTAACGGAAAGTATCCAATGACCACGCTTTATTCAGTATACTATGAATTCAGTAAAAGATATCCCCATTCACGCATTACTGGAATGAAACAAGAAACTATTTCACACAAAACAGAGCTTGTTATACGCATGCTAAATTTCACATTAGGAAAAGAATCATTTAAAAAGGGTTTAAAAAAATGTATTGAAGATCATCAAAATCAGACATTTGTCGCTGATGATCTTTGGGATGCGCTTACCTCTCAGGCGATTAAAGATGGACGTCTTCAGAGCCAATACAATGTGGCGGACATTGTCAGTCCATGGCTTACAAATCACCGCCTACCCTCAGTTCGCGTTAGCAGGGATTATGAAAAAAATTCTGCAAAGTTACAACAGAAAGTTTATCTTAGAGAACGGCCTCATGATGTGCCAGAGCAGGACAAAATGCTTTGGTGGATTCCCATTATTCTTAATCGAGAAGATGCAATTAACTTTTCAAATTGCAGTCCCTATGTATGGATGGAAAAGACTCAACAGATTAATATCCAAAACATGCCAGGAAAGGATAAATTTATTATTATAAATCAAGAAGAAATAGCTCCATTTCCAGTCAATTACGACGAAGAAAATTGGAAAATGCTGTCGACTTTCTTGCAAACTGATATTGGTCGAACTTTAGTTCCAACATATACTAGGTGAGTTTCATACAAAAAATCTTTTTAAAAAATCCTACTAATTGAGGGTGACTTGAACCCGAAACTTTCGCTTATAAGCTATTCATTCGATTAAACAATGCGGCAATGCGGCAATCGACAGCTAAGTTGTGCTAAATGTATGAGCAGTATTCAACTTTTGAATAAAGACATGCACAGCTTAGTTTTTTTTTATATTTTATTTGCCTTCAGTAACTGCTTGCATTTTAGTGTGGAGAGAATTTCGGTAATATAACTGAAACCTATAATTTAATCTATTTAAAATAATAACAATACATCTCATTGTCGAGCTTTTTCCACTAATCTATTTTTAATTGTTAAAAAGAAAGGGGAATTGATTTCAGGCTGTCTTAAGCACATAAATACGTTAAAAAAAAACATGCGTCCCATCGGTACAAATCAATAAAAAAAAAGTTTATTTTAACACACAATTTTCAACGTTCTATGTGTAGAATTAATATACAGAATGTAGATAAAGGGAATCTTACTCTGCTTTTTTACATTTCCAGAGCTAAAATTACTACATGATGCTTGGAATCTCGCTTACGCCGGTGATTTAAGTTTTGCTACTGCCTTCAATATGACTTTATTCATGAAATATGAGCGCAATCATATTGTGTGGAATCCGGTCTTCACTTTCATTGATCAAATTGGTCGGCATATAGATATGGCAGAAGTCCATAAAAAATTCGAGGCAAGTAATATAAACAAAACTAAATTAGTTTTGGTAAAATAATGTCTTCTTCCCATTTGCAGACATATGTTTTAATTATGCTATCGCCCTTATACGAAGAACTAGGTGCTGAGAGTGAAACCGAAGAGAGCTGGAAAACAGATCTTCGATCGTTGACTAAACGATTTTTGTGCCGCGCAGGCTTTCAACCTTGTATCGAAGAGGCAAAACATGCGTACAGCGTCTGGCAACAAGCAGCCGACAGGGACTTCGAAATACTGTTTGTATATCGTTACACAGTTATTTTCTTACATTTATATTTGACATGCATTGTAGGGTGCCAAATCATTATATGTGCCCCATCTTTAAGTGGGGTTCCATTGATGAGTGGCAATTTGGATTAGAGCGTGTGATCGATTTCCCAAAATCACGAAAGCAAAGTGAAAGAACTTACTTATTAAAACAACTGGCAGGTTGTGCAACCAACTCTGAAAAGATCAACCGACTGCTAAAAATGTCGATTCTAGACGACCACTCGAATTTCACCGAAAACGATCAATTCCTAATTTTTACTTCATTAAGCTCAGGTTCCAGCGGTTATTATACATTATTTAATTTCTTATCTGAGAATTGGACAACGATTCAAAGAAAGTAAGTACAGTTATGTTTATATAATGCTATGCATTTTTACTTTTCATTCGCAAACTTAGTATGTTTTATTTATTATTATAATTTTTAATTTAAATGCTCTCTTATAATTGCTTAGCCTCAAAAACTCAATTTTATAAGTTGTTTTTTTCTGAAATTCCATAGATTTTTAAAATTAATAATATATTCTGCAAATTTACTATAATTGTAAGTTGTCTATATCGCATGTGTTCTAGGACAGCCATAAAAAGGTAATAAAAAATTACCTACCTAATAGAAAGTACAGTAAATATAAGTGCTCAAAGAGCAAATCAACTATGCGATTGCTATACTTGACTTGCACTCGCTATGCTCATGCTCTTTCTGCTGTTGCTATAACTACAGGCAGCACAATGAAAATTTGTTTTGGAATGGCAGAGTAGAGCAGAATGGAAGAATATTTCAGATATTGGCTGGCTCTGCAGTTGCTAGAGAAAAATGATTAATATTTAAAATGGTTAATTTTAAAAATAAATTTAAAAAGCTAAATAAAAAAAATATGCTATTAAATTAAAAATTTATTTAAAAATTAAGCAATCTGTAAATAAAATAATATAGCTAGGTTTTTGTGAAATTGTCTAACATTTGTTACAAAAATTTGGGAAATCATAATCGGACCAAATAAATGTTTGAACTATTAAATTATCGAAGTTAAGACCGAAAGAAATAAGGTAAAGGAGAAAGAAGAAAACTATAGATAAATAAAGCGAACAAAATTATTATAAGAGTCAGAATCAAAAAGAAACAAATATAAATCCATTAAACAGCTTAAGTACTAATTGATCATGCAGCATTATTATTAATGCCTTTGCTAGTAACTGGACTCTGAAGAGTTTTGCGTTTGCAGCGGAAAATTACTCGTTCCACAAAATATGGAATCGGAGCAGACGCAACTATTGGTGGTACCCGAATATCCACTGGAGGTTAAAGTTGAGTAATATCTAAGCAACGTCACAGTCAACTAACGTGACTGGACAGAATAAAATGGTGAAGATGAAGGCACGTTTAACTCCAAACAACTTAACCCGAAGTTAAAAACTCTCCTTAAAAATTAAGGCAACCTGCCGGCAACTAAACTTAACCATAATTTAAAAAAAAAAACCAATCGATTGAGTGTATGAATAAATATTACTTCAAATTTGTTATCCAAATAGGTAAAATAATACTATTAACTGCTGCAAAGTTTTCCTACCAAGAACTCCTCTTTTTACCAATTATTTCAATTTGATATACCATCCAATGCTTCAAATGTAGCACTTGAAACTCGTTAGTTTAATTTAGTATATATTAGTGGTCCATACATGCGCTAATCTTTTGATTGTACTATTGATTAATATGCTATAAAACTATTAAGGAAACTAATTGCTTTCACCAAAATGCAAAATTTGTATTTACAAATCAGACGTTTGTATACACCTATTATAAGAAAATATTATTGTTTCCGTTCATTAAAATACCAGTTTTTGCTTTCAGACTTCAAAATAACACGAATTTATGGGACCATTTGATAAGTTCAGCCACTGGATTTTTTTTAACTCAAAAAGGCTATGATATGGTCCAGCAGCTATACGAAAAGCATACTGGAGAGTTTGGGAGTGCACAACACATTATTGAAAAGTCGCTTCGCAACATAAAAGAAGAAGCAAAGTGGAGTGAAGAGAACCTTCCAGTTATTCAAACTTGGCTTGAAAGCTTTTTATCTACGAATTAACACTGAACGAAGTGGTATACAATTTTTTTTAATTTCATTAAACAAACTATGGTTGTTGAATAAAAATATATAATATGTTGTCTACATATAAAGAATCGTCAAGTCCAATGTTGATTATGTGCGGATATTGTTTGTTCTGATGGAGCCTGCAAGCTTCTACTATCAACATAGCTGTTGATCTACAATATATGTGTTGTCTGCTAAGTGATTATATGCAGATATATGCTCTACCGAAAATATATAATACATAATATATATATATATATATATATATATATATATATTGAATGTCATTAGGAAGCTTCTAAAAACCGTGCCACCTGAAGCCGAAAGAAAATGGCCAAGACGAGGATGATCAAATATATATAAGAGAATTTTGATGTGCCTATATATACATGTACATTCCAGCTTGCCCTGGTCTTTATTAGCCCAGATGTCCCGTTTTGTAGAGATCTTCAATAAATACTATTGCAACTGCTGAATTCAACACTAACAGAGCCAATAGCAGAAAACTATAAAAATGATTGCGCTTTCGCTTTGCTCTGCTCTCCCATCTGCAAGATTAATAGGAGTATCCAGTCTGTTGTTATAGTAGTTGCAGAACAAACAAGGCCGAGAGCGAACTGTACAGCTTGTGCTCTTGATATATTATCGCATATTTGTGATGCTCTTCTGCTTCGCATAGCTGCTACGGAAACTACTACGATTGCTATTAATCTTACGTTAGGTAATTTTTTATTACGAGAGCTCAAAATACCCAGAATACAATTGTTTTTTTCTAGTTTTACTGCCAAATTTCAACCATAGAGCTTGGCAACATTTAAAAACTAAATGAAACTCGTTACATAATTCTTGGTTACATTGACCCTACCACTTAATTATTAAACATATTTTAAAGTGTTCATCAAAACTTTTTATTTTATTTTTAGAAAGTCTTCGAGCTTCCCTCGCTTATTTGTATTTGAAAACTTACTCTTTAAGAACGCTATCGCCTATAAAAACACTTGAATGCACGAAGCATCGGCTAGTCGATTTCCAGCTGTGTTTCATTACGGACAAAAGTTTGGAGATTCAGCGAGTTAAAATTTTCCTTATTTTAGACGTATATTGTTCCTAGTTAATTGAAGGACCAACGCTTAAAAAAAAGGCTCGTCAACAGAATCTGTTATAACGAATATGGTAAGTCTGATGAAATCAATTCCTAAAGTTTAAATTCTGTTGTTCAGATTAAAACGCAGAGAAGTTATACTGTTTCATTAAAATAAATTGATTCATATTTAGGATATATATTATGCAATATTATGGATTCAAACCACACAAACAAACCTATAACTATTTTAACTAAACTAGTGAAGAACTTATTGAAGAAATACTAATTTACTTATTTCACCAGCCATCTGTTTTCAACTGCGTATTATATTAAATGTATTTTTCGCCATCCAAAAAAAAAAAAATACAATTAATTTTTGTAGTAATTTATATAAAAAAAACATCAGGATATTGGTGAAAATTGGTTGTATATATTGTACGAAATAGTAATGTCTTAAGACAAACAAAAAGTTGTATTAAGTCCATTGGATGCAAATGTTTGCCAAAAGATTAAAAGTATTTAACAACTCATTGATGCGTCAATAAAGTCATGAATCATTGAATAATTCAGCTTAACTTCGAAGAATATAACTAGTTAATTTCGACCACTAGGCGGAAAATTTGAGACAGATTATAAATTGTGTTCTATTTGCCAAAAAAAAATATTTTTTTAAAGTCTAAACAAAGCTATATCTAAATAAATATTCCAAAACTATGATTCACATTAATTGGATTTAGACGATTTGTATATGCACCTATGGATATTCATAACATATACGAGTGTATGCACTCAAGCGACATATTAAATGCTTATATACTTCAATGCCATGACATCTGTATGCAAGCTAAAAAATGATTCTGACAATTTTTAAAAATATTAATTAATAAGAAAAATACATCCATCAACTAAATTTCCAAGCAATGCAATTTCCAATGAATATGGTACGCTTGTATCAATGTATATGAATGTAGGCGAAATATACGCATAAATTTATGAAGGTCTGCTGAACACTATTTTATACATGTATACATATATACGTATCAATATTAAGACCAACTAAATCAGCATAATATAATTTGACAATATTATATTATTTTAGAGGGAGTGCATTTCAGTTCACATAGGGCAGGCAGGCGTTCAGATTGGTAACGCTTGCTGGGAGTTGTACTGCCTGGAGCATGGTATTCAGCCTGACGGGCATATGCCCTCTGACAAAACAATTGGTGGAGGAGATGACTCTTTCAATACCTTCTTTAGTGAAACTAGTGCCGGCAAGCATGTGCCACGTGCCGTTTTTGTTGACTTGGAGCCAACTGTTGTTGATGAAGTGCGTACTGGTACCTATCGACAGCTGTTCCATCCTGAGCAGCTAATTACTGGTAAAGAAGATGCAGCTAACAACTATGCTCGTGGTCACTACACAATTGGCAAGGAAATTGTGGATATAGTACTAGATCGTATCCGCAAGCTGGCAGATCAATGCACCGGTCTTCAAGGATTTTTAGTATTTCATTCATTTGGTGGAGGAACTGGCTCTGGATTTACCTCACTGCTTATGGAACGTCTATCAGTTGATTACGGAAAAAAATCAAAGCTAGAGTTTTCGATTTACCCAGCTCCACAAGTACGTAACTCATTTTTTTGAAACGTTGTATCAATATCCGGCATAAATTGACTATATATATATATATATATATATATATATATATATATATATATATATATATATATAAACATATGTATATAAGACTGAAAGAAAATATTTTTCCGAGCTTTGGAAGAACAAACCCAAAAAAATGATATATATATATATACGTCTTAAATACACCATTAATTTTCGATTTTAAAGGTTTCAACTGCCGTTGTCGAACCATATAATTCCATTTTGACTACCCACACCACTCTGGAACATTCTGATTGTGCGTTTATGGTTGACAATGAAGCCATATATGACATTTGCCGTCGCAATTTAGATATTGAGCGACCCACCTACCTGAACCTAAATCGCTTAATTGGTCAAATAGTTTCCTCAATAACAGCATCGTTGCGCTTCGACGGAGCGCTAAATGTTGACTTAACTGAGTTTCAGACCAATTTGGTTCCCTACCCACGCATTCACTTTCCTCTGGCCACATATGCTCCAGTAATTTCCGTTGAGAAGGCTTATCATGAACAATTAACCGTCGCCGAAATAACTAATGCATGCTTTGAACCCGCAAACCAGATGGTCAAGTGTGATCCAAGGCACGGAAAATACATGGCATGCTGTATGCTCTATCGCGGTGATGTGGTGCCCAAAGATGTCAATGCAGCAATTGCCACAATCAAAACGAAGCGCTCAATTCAATTCGTCGACTGGTGTCCGACTGGCTTTAAGGTGGGTATTAATTACCAACCGCCCACGGTGGTGCCAGGAGGCGATTTGGCCAAAGTTCAACGTGCAGTATGCATGTTATCTAATACTACGGCCATAGCAGAGGCCTGGGCCCGTTTGGATCATAAGTTTGATCTAATGTATGCCAAACGTGCTTTTGTACACTGGTATGTTGGAGAAGGTATGGAGGAAGGCGAGTTCTCTGAAGCCCGAGAGGATTTAGCCGCACTTGAAAAGGATTATGAAGAGGTGGGAATAGATTCAACCGCCGATGTCGACGAAGGTGATGAATACTAAAGAATGTAATAAAATACAAGCAAAATACAAATTGAAAAATATTTAAATCAAAACATGACCGCCTATCTTCGGTACGTCGAAGTTTACACACCTTTGCAGAGTCCACCTGCTAATATCTTAATCACACTACACCCAATTAAAAATCAAAAAGTTGTTCATACAAGCATTATCCTCCGACCTATTATTCCTATTGGAGCTGAATAATATAAGTAGATATTTATATAGATCAATATATATTTGGTTGACAAAATATATTTATTTGATCACAGTATCTTAGTAAGCAAATAAATAAACAATATTATGCAAGAAATGTAGTCCGATTTGGTTGATTCCGAAATATAAAAAAAATTAAAAAGAAAAAATTATTCAATGAACTATATTACAAAAATATTATATTACCTCTGCAAGGGTATAAAAGAGAATTTTACCACAAACCTAACCAATTGAGCTGTCAGTAAATTTTTTCGTATATTTACTTTTCAAAATAAAATATTCACTAAAATTAGCAAACAACAATGATAACAAAAATGTGTTTTCATTTTATTAACTTCACTCCTGAATGACATCCTTATGCTTTTTTTACATAATTTACATATATTTATAATGCCTTTATTTTACACGTGAATCGTTAATATTAAAAGGTTTGTTTCCAAACTTAAGTAGCCGACCAATGTATTTCTACAATGTGTTCCTTCTATGTTGTTTTGGTTTCTGTAAAGGTCTGCGGTATACAGTAAGTATATCAAAGTTTGATCGGAAATCTAAAATATACACATATTTTCTTATTGTAAAAGATTTATATATATATATATTATATATAAATAGCCAAGCGGCTATTAAATCTATTGGTGCGATTTCAACAGAAATTAAATATAAAATTAATTAATTAAATGAATAATTAAAAGTTTTACTATTAAGACATGCTGCAAAAATTTGAAGAAAAAAGAAAAGTGGATGTAATTATTTATAAACAATTATGTTAGAAGTATTAGCAAAGCACGGAATATGACGCCAATGACACAACATTATAACACTGTATATGTTGAACACATTTTTCTAATATATTTAAAGTCTGCAACAAAATAATTTATAAAAAAGGAAAAATGGACCATCTGATGATGAACTTATTTTCTATCCAAAAGTAAGTACATTTTTAATAAGCCTGGATAAGAATAACTGATCGAGTTTACGAAAGCAATTGATAATTTATTCAAAGAAATAATATGAAAAATTCCGTATCAGAGTAAACAAATTGTGCAACTGAGTCCTTGACCTTGACCTTGAGTCTTTTTCCATCTGTTAGTAGTGTAAATCTTTGGTAAGACATTTTTAAAAATGATGTCTTCGAACATTAAACACAGTACTTGTCTGCACGTTTTTCGATGTAATCCTTCTTTACGTTATATAAGTAACATGCAACGAATTACGTAAAAGAATCATAATTCAGAGTTTACCAGAAAACTTCAATGATCAAATTGGGCTACAGTTGGAAAGACAAGTTGTTTTTATTATTTATTTTTATTACAAAATTTCACGATAACATTTCTAAATGGGTAGTCTATCTGATTTTGATTGTAGTATCAGGCATGTAAAAATATATAAATAATACCATCATCACTTTTGGAAATACAAATCGTGCATTAGAAATTCGCTGGCATCATGAATTAATTATATGATTTGTTCTTTAACTTTTTCAAGAAATCCTTAGCTTGTTTATCACCTTGTCGATACTCCAGTGCTCGGAGTGCCAAAGAATCTTAAAAGAAAATATTTTATAAATAATATATATTACACTTATTTAAATCAAAATGTTTACCTGAATACTCTGGTCTACAAAGATTCATGACAATTTGCTCGCCCTCATATGCTGTAATATCTGCAAACGTTATATAGCATTCCGCTATATATTGACTTGTCATTCCAAATAAATCTTTATCCTTAATAGTAAAAAAAATCAGGCTATCTTTCATTTGGCGTTGTTCTGCATTCAAATTACTGAATTATTAAAAAAAAAATATTAAAACCATTTAAATACTAGTCTAAACAGATTTACTTACAACCGAAATGTTTCGTCATAAAGGGGAAAACAATTTTTATTGTGAACGGCAGTTTTTACTGCTGCAATGCCAGTAAATCGACCAGTAGGAAACATGTACACTTTTACAAAGGAATCACACAATCCATTTTTATCCATAGAAACCAAATTTCGAGCATTTAATATTTCCAACTGAAATTCAAAATTCATAATTCTGTGCTGCTTTTATTATAACATACTCACAGATAATCCAGTTTCGGAAAACTGAGACCTAATTGTAAGTTGTCCAAATTGCGATGATGATTGTTGTTTTTGAACCTTAAACCGGTCGAGGTAATATTGATGGATAAGATCAGAAGTTTCGGACGCATGCAGATCTAGTGTGTTTTCAATATCCGTTAAAATTTTACAGTCACTCGCTAAAGCTTCACCAATTTTAAAGCAAGATATCATAGTGCGTAGAGTTTCCCTTAAGTTTTGAAAGAAAGCGGGAGGACGGCGTTTCTAAAGAAAATATTTTTTTAATTAACAAATATTTTAAGCCGGAATTTTCGCATACTCACATCAAGATTAGACTGAACAAGATCATATATTATAACTGCTAGTTCTCCCCAAATTCCATCTAATATTCTTCCAAAGTTTACTTCATTAAGAGTATCATAAAGGGTGGCCAGTGATCGTTCTAAATACATCATTAGCCTTTCCATAGAATTTGAGTCCTTATGGATGATTTCCGCTCCTTCAGTTAAAAATCTACGAATCGGTGGAGCCATCTTATGGACAACATGCTCTATTAATTCAACGATTTGATTGCGTTGTGTATCAACGGCGTTATCAATAACAGCCTTAATAGTATCAGCGCAGCGTTCAGCCTCCAAATTCGACCTAAATTCTCCGATGCGTTTTATTACGTCATCAGATCCGAGTTCCTTAAAAAAAAAATTAAAAATATCGGCATTAAATTATCTCTACAAATTATAAAATAAGCAAGTAGCGCCAATAACAAAAATGAAGTATATCTTAACCAGTACAAATCCTTTTAGTTTTGTTTCATTTTACCAAACATATTGTCATTTTAAACAAATATTTTTCGTTACACACATTCTTTTCTTATAATTCCATTTGAGGTCTGGATAGGGTCATCTCCGAACTGTATACTGTCTTAAACTAAAAGCCGGATATTTTCCAAGTTTAATCTAGATTGCTTTTAAACAGAGCAAGTTCAACGCATATAAAACTCTGAAAAATGGACATGGCTATATCGAATCGGCTTATAGAGAGATTTATAACGACTCATTCAAAGTGTTTGCTTTGAGTATAAATCTGCTATGTACATGTGAGAACGGATATTAATTTTAAAAAAGTGCTTCTCATAAAATGTGCGTATGTTAATGCGTATTTGCAAAAATGGTTAATAAAATATTGAAAATTGTATACACCACTTATCAAGGGTGCATAAGGACAGTGCTACTTTTTGCTGGCTTTACATTTAATTGATACCTTTATAAATGAAGGTAAACTCTGTCGAATGTAGTCCATATTGTTAATGGCTAAGCACCATTCTTCCGATAAAACTGAGATAAAAACATTATGTTAGGAATCTGATATAAAAGATAAAAATCATATCTACTTACTGAACATTTCTCCATCCTCTCCTACATTGGAAATGCTCTCCACTCGACGTGACATGCGTTGTGCATAGAAAACGCAACATCGGCATATATCCTGTTAGACGATGGTAAATTTAAAAATGAGTAAACCATTATCTCAAAATAAAATATAGGATGGTTACTAACGTTGATAATTTTTGCTACAAATGTGTATGACCCTTCAATTTCTGGCCAGTCCAACTGTTGCCAAAATATTTTAATCTGATAAAATATAGCTAAAGTGTCCACAGCAGATGAACTATATTTAACAGTTTCATCGACAGCGTGGAGTTGGTCCAAATCTATAGCTTTTTGGATGCGGTTTAAAGCTTTTATAATTGAAATATCTAGCCAATGGGTTACACCTCTTTCAAACCATTGATAAAAATCTGCCATCTGTAATTTATTATTGGGACAGAGTGATCGTCCTTAAAAAAATAAATTAAATTATTTAAGTTAAGTTTATAACATATTTAATATTATTACCTAATGTATTGTATCGTTTGAGAACCAAATAAACTTCAAATAATGTTGTTCCCATATTCACGTTTTCAATGTTCGGTATATCTTTAAACTGATCGTCGGGAACATCTAACATTTTAATGTTGGAACATACATTTTTGATGATTGGTTCAGATATCTCCACCAGTTTTAAGTCATAATATAGGAACAGTGTAGTGGAATAACTAACCCGAATTTTACTGAAAACAAAAATACAAAAATGTGGATGAATAATTTTAATAGTAATTATAAAATTAACTTAAAATCAAAATCATATATGTGGTATACCGCAATACGCTTAATTATTACCCAAACCGTTGAAAACAATACTAGTGTCAATTGCTTTGTACCGGATATCTTCAGAAACAAAAAATTATTCAATACTAGTTTCAATATATTATTCCTACAGGAACTTAATGAAATAATTATCCGATGAACAATTTCTTTCAAAAATGTTGATAACATCTATGGAGGAGACGTATTTAGTTATGATAGGATAATAAGAAATATGTTCTTAAATAATAACACTTTACCTGTACGCACACATATACACATACGTGTATATAAGCACAATTGTTTTTTTTACATATCGGACTAAGAAACGATTTTATATAAATTTTATTATTATTTACAATATTCTTTTAATTTGCGGATAGAATAATTATTATTATAAGATTTAATAAGCAACTCATCATATTGATTATTTTCTAATGAAAAAAAAATAAAACTAAACAAAAATAAGTATTAATTTGCAATTTTTAAATGAAATCGAATATGCGCTCGGACTTTATGACTTATTTTAAGAGACAAAAAATACAAACTGCCTAACCTACAGTGATTTTTGTATTTTATTATGTATATATAAATATTTAATCTTATTCAGCATCACCAGCTTGTTAATATAACCATGTCCACATGATCGTATTTTCGTTTTAAAGTCTGCCTTTAATTTTTACAACATTGTTTGAAAAAGTTAAACTGTTTCAGTTTTAAAGCTATCTTCTTGGGTATATATTCAACTTTTTGCTGAACACAGTACTTAGTTCTGAGCCAAACGGATTGGATCACTATTTTCCATAGCTGCTTAATCAGCCAAATAAGCATTTTATTATGCGCCTCACATTGAGAAAAAATCACCTAAATCAGACCAGTTATCGCACTTGATTCATATTCGTTTTATTGTTCGGCTACTCTCAGCGTATAATTTTTTTTTTATTTAGAATAAACAAGTAATCATTATTTAGGTTCCGTGTTTTAAAAATCACAAAATAACAAAATGGGTCTAACTACAATCAACCCTCCGAATTTAGTCTTTCTATGTTTATAAATTGTGGGAAATGTAATAGTATTTAATTTAAACTTCGGGGTATATTGTCGCAGTTCTATTTAAAATTGTATTGGTAATGACTGCACTACAATTCAAAGATTTCAAATTAATAAGAGGAATACTGGTGCATAAATTTAAGTTATAGTTTAATATGAAAAATATAAAATACTACTTACTGGTAGAACAATTTATCAAAATATTCCATTGCACGCTGGAGATCTGAGCGAATCATTTGTATTATTTGTATAACGTACTGCAATTTATCTTCATCAGACTCATTATCTTTTGTTTTTTTACTGCCTTCAATAATATGTTCCATCCATTCTTTCGCACCGCTATTTATAGCATCAACGATGGCGTTGTCAATATTGTATGTCTCAGAGTCCCCCTTTTCTATCCAGCCATAGACAGTTTGGGGAAATATATCAATTGTGCCCGGTATGTCAAAAGTTTTTAGCTTCGACAGAATATCTAATACTTCACTGAGAGCTTTGAGTATTTTGTTGTCACTGACATTTTTAGATCGTAGCTTTCTTAACACCGAAAAGCAAGATGGCAGTAATCGCTTCGCTCCGTCCCAAAAGGTTTTTACATCTTCACAATCATTCTGTAAACAGCTTATGACTGGAACCAAAATGTCGAGTATAGAATTAAATAGTGCAAAGGTAAGTTTGTGGGTCTCATGAACGGTACTATATGCGTGCCACTGACTAAGTGCACAATCAAAGGAGGAGAGTCCACTTTGAACAGCGTGTTGAGTTCTGATAGCTTCAGCCATCGAACTAAATTTTCCGCTCCACCAATAGTTAGTCACTTGAGACGTGTCCAGCTCATTCATGAGTAACAATTTTAAGAGATGCTTATGCTCTTGACAGGCTACATTTTTGTTTTTTTCAGCACTTAAGGTAATGTTGACCAACACAGATCCGCGGCTTTTAGTTTTGCTCCCTTTTTCCAGATTATACCAAACTGTGAGTCCAGATGCTGGAATAGACTGTAAGAATGTATTTTAAAAATCAGCGAGTCGATAAGAGCAAGTGAGAATACTATCGGACTTAACCGAAAATGTATTACCCTGAAACCAGAATAATATCAACTGAAAACAAATGGAAAGGAGAGACAGAGTGGAAAATTGTCAATCATAGACGATTAAAGTTTTGGGAAACAAGCTCTAAAAATTTGGGAAATCTAGGACATAGACAAAGCACGGTTGAGCGGACTGCACGGTGATAACAAAAAGACTAACTGAAATCCGAGCTGAGTTCTCGCAATTTTGTCAAGCTTGACATAACCCATAAGAAGCGCTTAGGAAGAGAATACGCCAGGAGCGAGAACTAAAGTGTTGATAGATATACAAGAGACTATCAAAAAGAGTAAAGAAAATCCGATGGATAGTATTACCGAATTGGTCCGCCCTATATTTCCCACCATCTAAAAGCTAGAGCTTCCAAATTTGAAATATATATTCTAAAAATCCCTTACAAGATATTTGAAGTAAATGTCCGTCCCCGCCCGCTTATTTTCATGAATACCTCTCTCAGTTTCAAAGCTGCAGTAACCAAATGTAAAATGTAGATTAATGACAGTTTTTTAATAGTTAATGCAAGCCAACCCAAGTTCATCTCACCACCACATCTGCAAAAAGTTTATTTGTTGCCTGGGACGAAATGAGCAGGCATGATAATGATCGGCTGCAAAACATTGATGAGCAATATTCAACAATATTCATATAGCAATAAGGAACAGGACAATGGTTATACTAATAAGCATCTGCTAATCACGCATTCATATATTACCCCAAAGTTGTTGTATTTAAAAAGCTTAAAAAAATCAAAACGAAGGCTAGAAATATTATTCAAGAAATTATTACTGAAGTTCCAAATTGTAATAATTATTACATTAGTCAACTGTTCAAATCAAAAATGTTCAGCTTATGACACAAAAGGCGTCAAGTCCACAAAAAAATGAATCAGGCTTTTCTTTACCAATTTCGTTATTTTAGTAGATTTGAAATTGATTGGATTAGATTTCCTTCCCATGAGTTTAACTTTCTATCAGTTTTGTGACTGTCGACTATTTAACTTTTTACTAACGCATATTTTAAGAATTCATGCGGAAGAATCTATTTTTATATATATTAAGCTAAAATTACCACTTGTATGTCTGTTTTCTAATAACATTGTTTAGTGAAAATCTTAAAAGGGGTATTATTGTCTCGATTTGCGAAATGGCTTGTTCGAACAGCCGCCTACGCACTGTGTCATGATCCCGTTGAAACCTATCTATGTATGCATACGAATATGTGTGCCGAGAAACGAATACCATAAATTTTGCGGGCTGAGGTTGCAAAATGTGGTCAGCAGTTAAGCCACCCCACTTTACGAAAGGTTACACATCGGGCCCAAAAACTAAAAAATTTAAAATCGACCGCCAGCTCCTTCATACATTATTTCATTATGCATTACTATCAACACACAGTGACTCCTTAATAAAACATGTATTAAATTCAATAATTTAAAATTATTTAGAATAACTAGATTAATAAATTAAAGTGGTCAAAGTTTTTGTTCTCAGTCAACGACAAAATACGAAATTTTTCGAAAACAAAAAATACCATAATCGGTGTAGATTTTCGGGTAATGCCTCTGATCGCCGTTTTTGAAGTCTAAGGTTCATACATTTTAAATAAAAGTTCCATAGATTCAATTGTACTTGACTAATCTAATCTAATCTCTTCCGATCATTCTTCCAACATTTGTAGAGTAAACTAACAATTTTCAAAATCGGAACAAAAATTTACATGTTAGCAGATAATCTCCGGCCTACAGTTATGTAATCTTCGATGTACCTAGGAAACCCGTTCATTCTTGTTTTATAATAATAAAATTTAAATATACTTTTAGATATACTCCCGTAATTAAAAACTCCATTGTATTGTTACTAATATACTTTACCTTTAATGAAATCATTGCACGGCCTATTAGTTCGTTATCATGTTTTCCAGAAGAAGCAGTAACGGCAATTTCTTTCATAAGCTTACTAAGGCCTCTTACGCCTTTGACATCCAAGAGTTTGTTAACCTTATCTTTGACAGTCTCCGCAGCATCAAAGTCCCTAAATAAAAAGATAATTATAAATAATAATTTTTAATTCAATTAAGTAACTTACAAAATAATTTTAACCTTAAGCGAAATATACACGAACGACTAGAATAAATTCATTGAACTTTTCTTTTAAACTAACTGAAATCTATCTATACTATATATACTAATACTTTTTTCGACACCATTACAGCTATAATTCATATCTTAGAAGACATAATTTATGCCCGCTTCAGTCAAACTTGACAAATAATTGCTGGTCCTTAAAAAATCAGCATATATATTTACCGACCCCGACAATACCGGACCCATCAGGGCCCAAAATCGGCAATAACATGTATATTCCACTTCGTTTAGTCTATACACACTCTAGAAAAAGCGAGAAAACATTTCACGGCCACACCTCATCCAGCCAACAAAAGTCGGTTAATATATATTACACAACTTTAAAGCTTGAGTTATCAAATTTAAAATGCACATTAATAATTATTCAATGGCTACCACCACACAAAATGTTTTTATAACTAACTTACACCCTATTCATTTGTTTGAAAATGAATGTCGATATTGTAATGGTATAAAATACCACAAAAATTACATAATATAAGACTTACCAAACTTCGATAATCAGGGCTTCCTCGCGAGGACCTTCAGTAATTGGTCTATTCAAAAAATTATTAAATAAAAAATATATTAATTTATGTGAAACTAAAAATCGTTACTATCGATTTGCTGTAACATCTTCATAAACATAAAATTAATTACTCTACTCCTTAAATATATAATGCTTAGCGATTCCGCCAACCCAAGTCACAATACCAAAAATATATATCGAAGGCTACAATAAAAAGTGCTCTTGTGGAGAGCTCGAATATCAAGAGTCAAGCAGTTATTCTGCTTAAAAGATCACCACATTTTAATGTATGCAAGTGCTCGAATTTTTACCAAAAACCACTACTCCAATCCCAAACAAAAGCGTGTCCACAAAAGCAGCAATAAAAAGGCAATTAAAAATATCTACTGGAATAGTAATGCTTAGTGGTAGGTTCTTAGATAACATGGCTACGAGGAGCAAAAGAGCCAACGAAATCACTCTGCTCTTGTTTTTGTTATTGCTACAACTGTAGATAACAAAATGTAATTTCTCTGATCTTGCTAATTCTATTGCTCTTGCAAAGAAAGAGCAGAGCAAAAGAACATCCATTTCATTATTCTTCAATTATCTCGATATCTTTGCTAAAGTTCGTAGCAGTAACTCTTGTAGAGCAATATTTTTATTGTTCTTGCTGCGGAGTAGTAAACTTAAACCCTGTGTACAGGATTCTAATCAAGCTCTCTTTATATATATAATTATACATATTAATTGTTTGGTCTTGCTAATTATATTGCTTTTGCAAAGAGAGAGCAATGCAACAAAACATTAATTCTTCTATAATCTCTATGTATTTGCTAAAGTTCGTAGCAGTAGCAGATGCATAGCAATATTTTGATAGTTCTTGCTGCGGAGTAGTAAATTTAAACACTGTATACTGGATTCTAGGCGACCTCTGTTTATATACATAACTATGCATATTATATGTATATATATGTATATATAAGTTTATTTATATGTACTTTTTAATAGAAATTTAATAGTATTGCCCAATATGCATATTATATGTATATATATGTATATATAAGTGTATATATATATATATACTTTTTAATAGAAATTAAATAGTATTGCCCAATATTGCATATATATAAATTTTTTAAAATATATTACAAAAACCACTTACAACGAGAAGTGTTCCTCCCATATGGGATTTAGAGTACACGGTTTTACAGATGAGTTATAACGGTGCGAGTTGTTTGATTCCAAGTATAATGTAACAAATGGATCGGAAAGCCCATTTGGATCTTTTGACATTAAATTTTCTGCTTTTATGATTTCAACATTTAATCTCAATTTGGGTGGTTCTTTCATCTTGGCAATTTTAGAAATTTCCAAATGCTCTGAATTAGGTATTTTAAATACTTCTTGAGCAAACTCAACTAGGCTGTTTGTACAAACATCGTTAGTCTCGCAACCAATGTTATTGTAAATCTCAAATAAAATTTCTTCGTACAAGTCTTCAATCTGAAAAAATAAACAAAAGAATGCATAGTTTATTTTTATTTTAATTATTTTAATATGAAAATTAAAACAGTCGCCAAGATAGTCACGATATAAAAAAAAGTTCGAGCAAAAAAAAAAAAAAAACAATAAAATATATAACAAAAAACTTGTCCCATAAAAGAGGAGGCCTCGGCGGCAAAGAAATCAGGACAGACATCATTACAGAGCTGAACGGTTAAGCAAGAAAAACAATATTTGCAACTCTGAAAATATTGCACTTTACAAAGTTTTCTTTTTTTTCAGTGTTTTAATCTTGTTTTAATCTTCATTAAAAGTATAATATTTACAATTAATTTTCAATCCTCCAAAAATATAAAAAAAAGAGCTTACTTTCTTTTAATTAGAACTAACTTATGATTGTTATTTAAATAAATATGTATTGACCCTACTAGTATTTTACGGGCGTAAGGCACATATAACTTAAATGCAATGGGAAGAATATTTGAGAAGATTTTTCCATTATAAAGAATGCCGTGTAATTTTTTAATAGTGTTCTCAAATTTGTATCGCGATTAGTTATAATCATATAATCTTGATCATACACCATAATTCTCTACTCGATACTGCTTGGTACGCTGAACCCAGTTTTTAAGTAAATTATTGTTCTAGCTTTATTGGCCAATTTCCGTTTTAAATGTTTTGCACACTCAAAGTAAAAAAAAACGCAGCGCATGCTTTTATTTGCAAACCCTCAGTGATATCACCGACACACGAGTGTCTACAATCTTTTTGCATTTGTGTCTACAAATTTTTTGTATGTATACACGCATCATAGATATCGGCACTCTGAAAAATACACGCCCATATTTACTCTCTCATCGATTATCATATGTACATGTGTCTGCTGATAATAATCAGATCAATATGATAATAGTTTTTGGCTATAAATTAAGATTAACAAATCTTGATCTAGCAGTTCGATCTAGAGCGGATCCTAACCTGGATATTAGATTATAACATGTTGACTTCGGTATAATGTTAAGTCATATTTTAACTGAGAGTTCCTACGGCAAAAATAAACTATCGGATCTGTTGATTCTCACATATGCACTGGCTACAAGAAATAGATAGATTACTATTTTTATTAAGATAGCTTAAAAACTTAGAGAGAGTTTTCATACAAACAATCGAATAGATGGACATGGTTATAAAAAGAACATATAAAATAAGTGAATAAGTGGGGTCGATGTCTCGTTCAATGCGCTACACACCTTACGACTAAATTAAAATGCTATGTGCTAGTGCATTAGAAGAGCTGCTTTTCTTAAGAAAAGTAAATAAGTTTGTACCAGGCAAAAAAGTGTATTGTACCATCTCACCATTACGCCCATAATAATATCATTGATGTACCAGCTTTGGGATACATCAGAATATGAGTTAAGGAATGTGAACTCTAACTAAAATTGTATACAACCTATTTTTGTGAAACCACTGATACCCTTAATAAGAAAAGTAAATTAAGTGCTTCCCAATAAAGTACTTACGGTCATTGAATGACAAATTGCCTTCGCGTGAGATTCCAGTAAATGCTTGTGAACACCACGAAAATGCTGGTTTGATATGCTTCCATTTCTGTTAAGCATTCGTTTACGTCGCTCTGCCGTTTCATTTAATGACAGCGTGGAACTCACTTTTTTCACCTGTCTTGTCTCATGGCCAGCAGTACGATTTAAACTTAGAAATTTTGAATTTCTATCCGTCGAGTTTTGCGAACTTATATTAGGCAGAACACGGGGCAGAGACAACTGACTCATTTTGAATATACGAATTGACTAAATTGAATTAAATAATGCTTTAAACACACTGCACTTCGGCTAGTAAAATATTTGATGCTCATCTAGCGGACTGTGCCGTTTTTCCTGAATATATTCTTGGTCATCGTACAAATAATTTTTGCATATATATATACATCTATAAACGCATTAAAATCACTATAGTAGTAACACTTCTCCAACACTAGTAGATGGAAGACCCGTTAACAATGCCAATGCCGAAAACTGAAAATCGAACAATTTATCACTTTGGCCATGAGCTGCTTTGAGTATGCATGAGCAGAATTCAATTTCGATTTTGTTTTCTAAGTATCTCACAAGATAAAGAGAAAAGCATTATGTAGTAGTGCTTTGAGTAAATGTTTTATTTTTGGAACTAAGAAAAAGCTCAATGATAATGAAAAATGTTTATTCTCAAGTATGTAAAAAAAAAGCTGTTCAGAACAAACGAAATAAATGCTTTTTATGTACATACAAAATATTTGTACATATAAACATACTATGTAGATAAGTAGATGCTAAAGCAAACAGTTTTGTAGACTATTTGGCTGCGTCTTTGAAAATGAGTTAATTTGTTTGTAGTTCGATATTATGGTTAATTAAACAATTCGAAGAGATGAATTTTGAACTTACATAAAACAAATACGTCTGCTGTTAAAAATTATAATCGATGAGATAACTTTATAAATCCGAATAAATTCATAATAATAATTAACATGTCACTAAAATTTATCCATGGAAATCTTCTGCAATCTGAACTTAGACATATAAAACGTGGGAAGTCCAACAAGGAACACAACTAAAACAAATGAAAAAATGTACTTTAAAATACAAAAGATTGTCTGAGATAGGTATCAGAAATTAATAATCATGCCAACAACACCTAAATATATTTACATAATATTATACACTTGCATGAGCTATTATAATTTTGTCGTGAAGTTTGTAATTGAAGGAGGTAAAATATTGATCATCTTGAACGGCCGAGTTAATATAGTCCCTGTCCATCCTTTTTATCAAGATCAGATTATTTTGCAAGTAGCTTCCTTAGAAATAATTGATCAGGTATTAAAAAATGTGTAATGCTACTCAGAGATATATGTTCTTTTTTGCTTATAACTATAATTAAATATAGATGCAATAAGATGAACATCAGTGGTTTCTTTCTTTTTTTAAACTCTGATACCCAAGGCATAAGAGTATATTGGTTTTGTGAAGCGTACATCACTGTCCGTATTTATAACAGTAACTTTTTTCAAAAACCTTACATCTAGAGATTTCTCCCGATATGCAGTGTCAAAATTCCCGTCATTATAAATCTGAAACGGCTTATTCTCTACAGTTTTTGAGCTACAATCACAAAAATTGGAATGTAAATTACAACTAATTAAAAATATATCTACGGCTCCCATGATTAATAAAATTCTATATATTCAATAATGCTAATCAATTCTACAATTTTTAAGCTAGATTCATCAAACCTGGAACATCGATTGCTGGTGATATCTTTAAAGTATCAACATATTAATTTCCCAGCCACAAAACTATTTCGGCCTACACCCACTCGCATCAAGACGTTGAAGATGGATTACTAGCTATCAACTCACAAGATGGGAAAAACTTCTTGGTCACGATCAAAATTTTGCAGTTAAAGTTACCATACTTGAAACTAGCCACTTACTTAGAAATTAAATTATACTAATGCTGGAGACATATGTACCAGGCATATTCTATAAAGCGGGGATTAGATGCCTGTGGGTAGTTATTATTATTTAGGCCACTCGCAATTCCGAGAGAAATCGAAAAAAAAAAATATCTTTGACTTACCAAACATATTAGCAACCCCTTCCTAAGATTTATAAAAAAATACATTCGAATTAATTTTGTAACCGAGAGCCAAGCCACTTGTAAGTCTTGTATATAGCAATATATAGGAAAGATTTAATACTTACATTCATACAAATTGATGTGTCAAAAACAGTTTCTGTTATATCATCAACGGGTAATAGATCTTGTACGCTTCCCGCGCTAGAAGATTCAACACACGCATTTTCGTCACTTTTTGTTTCCAACCCGCTGTCGGTACAAGAACCGTCTACATCCCTTGCAATTACAGTCTCGTCATCTTCTTGAAATGGAGACAATGAAGTCTTAAAAACAGTTTCATCCAGTTGCGATTTCTGTCGCAACAAAAAACCGAAGTTTTCAAAGAAACCACCATCAGCATCCTGGAGCCTGCAAAAATATTTTAAGTTTATTAACTTTTTTCTAAATATTTTGGTATGAAGTAAATAGTCTTTGAAACATGTGTGGGATCAAAATACAATATATTGGCTTCAACCAAATACATTTTCAAACAAACTAATTGTTGGATTTGCTAGATCCGATCGCACAGTTTCACAGCGTATACAAACAAGATAACGATATTCTGCAGGAATCAAAGTTTTTATTTGTCTAACGACGCGACTCATTCTGCAGTCTAAAACGGAATGGGTATATGCTATTGTGAAATTAATATTTGAGTACATTCGAATGAAGGAACAATGCAAAAGTTAAGATAAGCTAAATAAGAGTTGCCAGATTGTTACATTACCTACAATAGAGTCACATTTGCAAACAAATCTCAACCAAAATCCATAAAAATAGTAATCAAATAAAGCAAACCTAAATTCATTCCAAAATTTAACCAAATGTAAGACAATTTTGATGTGTTCACCATGTCTAGCTGCTTGCACTTTTATAAGTATCACGCATCATTGTAATAACCGCTTTAAGTAAGATTTTTGTGCACATTGCAAAATAAGTTGTTTATATTCTTTGTATATATTTAACCTACTTTATTTCTTTTTACTGTGACTTAAATTATTGAGCAAATTTAAATTCTTTAACGCCCAGATACGCCTTTATAAGAAATCAAACGAAAAGATTCAAAAAAATTATGATATTAAGACTTGCAATGAAATATTTAATCATTTGTAGATGAAATCCGCCCGAGATTTAATACAAGTTTGCCAGGTACTAAATTAAATCAAATCTAGAAACTCTGAATATTGTACGATTGGGTTGCTATGCTCGTGCAATAGATTTCATTACAAGTTGTACAATTATTTACAAAGTACAAAGCCAGGTACAATGGTCACTGTGGATGGCATGCTAAGCGAATAATTTGTATTTTCTGTTTTTGTTAACAGTCATTTTTGGTATACTCTGAAAGTTACAATGGTATATATGTAATTTGTATGAAATCCTCTTATACCTCCGGTATTAGAGTATAATAAAAAGGTTATTAATTGAATATATTTACATTCAGATTTACAAAAAATTAATCCTCAAAATAAAAAATAAATACGTACGCATATATACAGGGATACAGGGTACCTTCTGGTCCAGCACTCTCGACTAGATCGGTCTTGTTTAAGTTAATTATCTGCAAGTGTCTGTATTCTACGGAGCATCGGAGATTGCTGCCCTTCATTTCCAAATATACATATGTATGTGAAAATTCACACAAGCTTTTGAATTGAAAATACGCGTCCAAGTTTCTATGTCTTTTTTTGCCTTCCTGTTTTACATAATTTGCCTTACAGGTTTAATATAGATATTGTATTCAATTTAAAAATACTGCAAGTATGTCGACCGATGCACTGTTTCCGGGTTGCATTTCTGGCTCCAGCAGTTTGAATTAAATTTTCCCAATTTATTGCATAATATGTTCACACATGTGCGCCCTTTATCCATTTAAGTTGACACCAATTAATTCAATAACTCAATTTGTTCTACAACTTTTTGGCTCCCTCAACTATAACATTCTAACCTACATTTAAGTAATCTCATTATCGGAAATGTAGTTCAGTTCATTGATTTATACATGCTTCTGTCAATAAACAATGTATTACCTATCTCCTCCACACGATTGTATGGATTTAGAACACTGTTGTCTTATATTTTTTAGTCTGTCACGAAACTTCATTTGTTTTCAAATTGCACTCTTTCACAATGTATAGCAAATATCATAATCTCATATAAAAATTAATTTTGTTTATCACAGAAAACAACAGAAATTTCTAGCTGCACAGCAAAAAAAACTAACAACTTTCAACTTGACATTTCCGTTTAAACTGTTCGGATGGTAAGAGGTTCAAACCTACGCAGCCAAAGCTAGCGGTCAAAAAACACAAAAACGTCATACATATAAATATTGACTTCACGGTTCATGACTTTGCAGACATACATATACGTATATATGTACATACTAGCATATAACCAAGTATGTATGAGTGGTTACATTTACATGCATAAAATAAACTAGCTCAACTATGTATGTATGTATGAATGTATGTATGCAGACGGAAAAACCAATTTTCATGACTTCGTTTGCTGGCAACCCTTAACAACAACAACATAGTGTGAAACGTGAGTATTCACAAATGTGCATGCAACAAGCAAAGATTAACATAAATACGTGCACTCGAGTTCAAATTTATAGTATATAAGCAGACAAAACAAAATACTTTCGTGACTAACTGTATATGTATGTACATACATACAGAGTCATGTCAATCCTCTTTTTAGTGCAGGAAGGCCTAGTAAATAGCTGAATTTTTATACGCTAAAACATAAATACAGAAGGAAGCATAACCAACATATAAAATATTTTCTTGATCAAAATCAACAGCGTGGTCGATCTAGCCGATCGATCTGCTGCTAATCTGTCTGCAGTTCCAAACCGAGTCGATGAACCCGCCGGTGATTCACCAACTAATTTTTGTGGAGATGCTAAACGGATGAATCTGAAAAAATAGTCTATTGGATTTGATGTATAATGTAGCCAAATGCATCTGTTAGTCTGTATAAATTAACAAATCTCCGAATATAATACGCGCATATCGATAGCTTTCAAGAATATCGATACAAATCGATATGTGAAAGCTATAAAATATTCTTTGAAGAGATTTCGGCCCTTCCTTTTGCTATATCGGATAAGAAACACGTAAGTTATGACCTAAAATGATGCGAATGTCATACTGATGACAAGCAATTTTAGTGTGTTCGTACAGATATGGGTAGTAGTAAGATGGGTGTGTGGATTGATTTAACTTTGGGCTTCTGAATAATAACATGCACTGCGTGA